CCCCAAAACCCCAAAACCCCAAAACCCCAAAACCCCTGTAGATAGAACTAAAATTGAAATTCGTATATCAAGCAGAATGAGGTGCTAAATTGGCGGAAATTGGCCACCCACATCTCGCTGTCTAAATGGCTCAGGTAGGAAAGGTTCATTCTTGTTAGAGATATACAAAACTTCAAAGTTTTGCACATCTGAAGGATCATTATGTGCAATTATATTCTTTACAATCTTTTGCTCTGTCATATCTCTTCTCGTCATATGTAGCCTCTTCGCAGCCCTGATTCTTTCTGCGATGTTAGGAAGTTTGGGCAAAGATGTAGGAAGGGCTGTGCACAAAGGTTTAAACTTTGCCACACTTTCGTCCATCATAGCGATTCTCTCCATATTGACTGTCATATTTTTCTTATACTTCTCAAGTATAAGAGACTTTTCTTTTCCTTTAGAGCCTTTACCGTGACCTCCCTTCAATTTTGTTCCTTTCTTCCGTTTTCCTGTGAAGCTTTTGTTCTTTCTCCCTCTGGCTTTCTTGCGCATTTCTAGAAAATTATTATTTCAGCACTTACCTTGTTCTAGTGCTGCTTGGAGAGCTTTTTGAAATAGCTCTTCTGTGATAAACTCTTCATCGGAGTCATCAGCTTTTGAAATAGCACTCTGATCGGGATCAAAGCCGCCATAAAAAGAGTCGCCCATCTTGTCCTCCTCAATCCCCTTGGAGCGTCTTTTCTTCCTAGTGCCGATGTAGAACTCGTCTGGGTCCTTCTCGGTCGTCATTTGCTCATCTTTGAGCTTGAGCCTTTCAAAGACTCGGTCAGTGACAGTTGTCTTGGGAGCCTCAGTGGGACTCTCGTCTGAATCATCTATAGGTCAGAGCGATGGCTTACTGTCAACACCGTAACTATCCTCGCTATCTTTGATGATGGTAAATGGCCGATAATCTGTAGCCAGGATTATCGACACTTTTCAAGCATGCCCAACCAAGATGTCGAGTTGTTCGTTAAGAAAGCAAAGTGAGTCGATCTTTTCAGGGAATCAAATTTCCCTGACAAGCTCTTTTTGGCTTGTCCAGACCTTGACATTACCGTCCTTTCCTCCTGTCACGAATAAGCAAGAATCAATGCTGGATGTCATGCAAGTAATAATGTCTGAATGCTCAGTGACTTTAGCTTTATGGATCATCTGCAGCTCGACTGTATCAGGATCTATAGACATCAGTTCGCAATCACGAGAGTGGAACGAGAGCATTAGAGTATCTGCACAGAAACATATCTGCTCTATTTCTCTGAAAGCCTTAAAAGTTTTGTACACAATTATGTTATCATTCTCAAATCCCCATATATTCAAAGAGAATTCGGAGCACATAGACATGAAAAGAACCTTAGAGTTGCTATCAGCAGAGAGATTTTTCTCTGAGTAACAATCACCTGCTTTCTCTTCACCTTCTTCAATGGGAGAAATTGCTAACTTTTTGTCTAAGCCTGAGTTCCTAGAATTCCCAAAATTTATTTTCTCAATACGAGTGATTGGTTGACGATGTATAGAGAACCTAGCGTATACCTTGTCAGTGTTATGAACAGAGACAAAGGCGAAGGTACCTTTAGAGAATCCAAGAACTATCATATTCTCCTCGCCGGTGTCCTCAATGCGCACTTCTCTTTCCTTCATGGCTTGGTCTTGAAGGACCTCACAATCATATTTCGGAGGAACTACATTCACAAAATTCATAGTAGTTATCAGTTGATTGACAGATTTTCCTTGAGAATCCTTGATATGCTCAGGCCTCTGCAACTTCTCTAGGAGGGCAGTTTCCTGGTCAAAGGAATAGATGCAGATTGTCCCTGAGGAAAGTAAGATAAAGATCTTTCTCAACTTGATAGAGTACTCAATCTCCTTCAGCTCTTTTGCTGTTGGAGGTGGATAGATCGTAGACATTTGTTTCCCCTTGGGGTCAAAAATTACAGCTGAATTATCATTACTCAACACATATATTGCAAAAGGATTGTTCTTAATTTTGTCCTCAATGGTGTCATAGCAGGCTCCTACCTTTTTTATCACAGAGTTTGGATTACAAAAACTGCTAGCAAGGTGCTGAAGTTTTAAAATCTTTATTTTGTCGTAATAAAAACAAGCGAATAACTTATCATTTAACAGTAATATATTTGATAAGCCTGCGTTCACCTCGAAACAGTATAGCTCAATGAACTTATCCAAACACCAGACCCTTACTGTGTTGTCTAACGATGCAGAGATGAATGAAGTGTTGTTAGGATGCGGAGCCAGAGAAGTCACCTTCTTCGAGTGACCTGAATAGGAATGAATTAGCTTTCTCTTAGTCTTCATATTTTTGAACCTAGTTGCATCATCAATGTCATCAAAGCTGATATAGGAGCCCCTGACATTGAGTTTCCATACATATATTTGTCCAAATACAGTAGAGGTGATAAAATATTTAAATTCCTCTGAAATTATCAAGTCTGTGATATAGTCCTCTTTAGATGTGAGAGAGTGATATTTTCCAACAATATCTGCATTATCAAGCCTATTAAAGCAAGTGACTTCTTGAGACCAAGAGAAGATCATTCCTTCATTTTCAACAACTTTAAGCCCTTTCAGCCAGTAAAGATCTTTATTAATCGGCATCATATTCTCAATAGCAATTATGAGATTTTTAGAATCTGGATCAAGAAACAAGGCTTGCTTGGGGTCATATTTAGTTTTGACACAGAAGTCGAACACAAATCAGCCTCCGACTCCGGCAGTGATCAACTTACTTTTGCTTTCCCAAAAGTAGATGTTGTTGACAAGTCTCACCTTGAGCTCTGTGGGTCTGACATTCCCATCCTGATCCTTTTGTTTGACGTACCTGAGTAATTCGTTAAAAATGAGCAGCTTAAAATCAGTTGTGACTGCCAAGTATAGCCTATACCTTGTGGAATACGTCACACAGGAGACAGAATGCGATCCAACTGTATCGAAGAAGTTAACAGAGAATATTGTATTCGTGTTTGTGGGGTCCCACAAATGAAGGTTATTTCTCATCATAGCTAGCAAAACAATTCAAATTAGGATTCCAAATTATTCCCTTGACTTGTGTGCTATGGCCCAAATACTGTGAGATTTGGGAATGTCCAAACTCAAGTCTTTGAGTGAGCTTTGTTTTACCAATGAGTTCATCTTTCCTTCTCATCAACCCTCTTAGCTTCTCTTCGATGCCTTTTCCTCCAGTAGAGGTGGGCTGCTCTTTCTTCTGGGGAACTGAGCTAGTGGACATTTGAAATAAAATTTATATTATTATCATTCAAATTGAAAATTTATGCTAGGGGTTTTGGGGTTTTGGGGTTTTGGGGTTTTGGGG